CATGAAGTCACCAAGAGCAGTGCAGTAATTTTACCAGCAAAGACCCCAGTGTTTAAACAGAAACCAGGAATAATAGTATTCACAAAACCAGAATACAGTGGAACACAGATTTGCCTGCAGATGCTCTATAAAGTCATAACATACAAACTAGTTGGCTACTACACCATAGTATCTTGCCCTGACTTTTTTTGTATATATTGTTTCCTGCCTAAGAATCTTATGAAGTAAAGAAACTGGATTAAAGTTCACCTTTAAAAATAAAGCTCGTAGACAGTTCAAACATTCCTAACACGTAAAGGCTACGTTTAACAAAAATATTGCTGCTCAGAATCTATCTTTACCTCTTCAGTAGTCAACAAATGGCTTTTTCCAAGAGTAGATGAAGGTTGTGCCATTGGCAGTTCGCCAGTTGCCTTCATGTTTCCTTCCTTAGTTTTCTGTGTTTGTGTCAGATGCGAACTGGCAATTTTTGTAGGAGATAAAGGAATTTTAACAGGGCTTTTGTCTGGAAGATTATGAAGAACATGTGTTTCAGCATCTAACAAAAGTTTATCTGATTCCTTCTGGAAACAAGGTGGCAGCTGACATGCTGGGCTTTCCCACACACAATATGTCTCTCTTTTAACAGCTCTGGGACTCGCCTCTACAATTTGGTTCCTCAGCATTTTTAATTTTGCCTTTGAGTCCTCCACAAATGTTTCTGTAACCTTGTTTTCCAGTTCTTCAGGTTGTTTTATTTTAGTCTGTTCATTCTTGCTTCCAGTCTTTATCTGAAGTGCTAACAGACGAGCTTCTTTGAAGATTTGCACGAATTTCTCTCCTGTAAGTGGGCTCCACATGAGTTTATCATCACAAGCAGGTGCTCTCTCTTTTTCAGCACTTTGTGCTTCAATACTGACAGAAATACATTTTTCTTTGTGTCCCAAAGGTCCCATAAAAACTTCCTCTTCACTTCCACTGCAAAGAAAAATAAGTCAGCCCAGCACCTACCATGTGTCAATTTTAAAGGTATATTTACCTGCAGAACCTTCCCTTACCTTGATGGAGAGAGTGAAAGGTCAAAATCAAACTGTTCATCAGTCAGAAGAGGAAAGTCTGAAACTGTAACAACAAGAATTTTATCACAGTAGGGATTTCAATAAAAATGATTGCATTATGCTTTGACAATTTGGTGAAGCTGATGTCAGATGGCAAAGGAAGTTTTAGCTACCCAGTTCAAATAATTAAAATAATAAAAGCATATTTTAGGACAAAAATTAAAGGTGAATTGTGAATATGATCATAGTTGTGATAGATGCCCAAATATCACGAAATATCTCAATGCTGATTTTTAAGGATCCATAATAGGAATATGAAATCTGGCTGTGGGGAAGGATATTAACAGCCTCCAGTCAAGAAAAGTGAGAACACATAATCTAGAGCTGCAAAATACAGTTGTCCTACCAATCAATTCTTTTTCAGTTCAAATCGCCACAAGACAGTAACAGAAGCCAGTGGGAAAGATTCATTTTACTGTTAGCTAATATGTACACTAACTATTAATTGGATCAGCAGCAAACAGATAAGGAAAGGAGCTCAGATTAGATATATAGAAGAGCAGTTGATAACACGTTGCCACTGCACATGCTCTAGCACCAGTGCTCCCTCACAAACTCTTGGGGCTGCTTGAAAGTCTGACATCGGCAACAGCAGCCCATCCAAGGAAACTAGTATACAGAACAAGATGTGAAGCAGATACAGGAGGTCTGCAGATCTGAACTGGCTTAGCTTTTAATAAGGGATACAGTAGGTAGAGAAGATCCCAACTTGTTCTCCACTTACCATTACTCATGCAAGTACCCGTTTTTTCCTCAATCACATAACTTGAGCAAGATGCTGCCTTTTCTTTTCCTTCCTCCATAGTGCCTGGGAAATACAGAATTACCTGTATAGTAGGTTTAAGAAAACCAATAAGGTCGCAGAATTTCATGATACTGCCAAATTAGCATGGAGGCAAACATTCCTTTTGAAGACTCTTACATGTTATGTTTAAGGACACCAACATGTTTTATGTTATAACATAATCAGAGGAATACTTTATCTCTGCAAAAAGCATTCAAACACAGCAGTGATGCCTAGAATTTCTGAAATTCCTTAATGCAAATTCTGCATTCAACAGCTAGACTCTTGACATGAATACAGCTGCAGTGTGCAGCAGAAGGCTGCTACCCCACAGGCTAAAACCCCTTCTTACGGCACTAATCCTAGGCTAGCGTAACCGAGACTGCTCCACAGATGAAACACATGCTGTGCTTCAGATAGTACCTTTCGTTTGTGCCCAGAAACGCACCAAATACGACATTCCTGTGAGCAAAGGTAGACTCGTCCCTACCTTAACACCTTAACCTGCTCAGGCTTGGCCAAGAGATTAGCCAGGACACCCTCAGAAAGAAGCTGCCCGACGTGCACAAAGCTGCTCGCACACCACATACCGTCCTCCCCCTCACCTCGGGGGAGCTCGCTCGCATGGTCCCCCCAACCCCGACCACAACGCTGCTTGTACCTCTAGCTGTGGCGGCCGCCGCTACCGGCGGGGGTCCTCGGTCGTCCCAGCCTGGTCCTGGTCACCGAGGGCCGTCACCCCGGCACTCACCTCCGCCACGCACCGAACAGTGCAATGGTGGCGCCCGGCCGTTTAAAATCGCCCTCCACTCACGTGACGCACTCCGCGACCTCTCATTGGCAAGTTTGAACGATACAAGGCACCGCAGGGCAGTTTGGGGTTTGTAGTTGGTTCCCTAATGGCCGGCTGTGTTGTTGAGAGGCCCGTGCTTCACCTCACATACTTAACCAGTTTTTAAATAGACTAAATCTATGTAATCGCGGTCTGAAGGGTTGGATGAGCTATAGGGTCCCTTCCAACCCAAACAGCCCTGTGACTGATGAAAGAATATGCTTTGAAGTAGGCCTATTGCAGAACGAAACCCCAGGAAAATGCCACTCTTCCACATTTCTTCTGACATCTAAGGCAGTCCAGTGCTTAGGCATGTTTCTGAGGCATGTATGGCCTCAGAAATTTCAGTCGAGTGATGTATTCTGTGCTGAGTATTTGGTATGGTGGAATCACTGGATTGGAATTTAGCAGCTGAATAAGAACGGTTAACCATGATTTTTATATAGATAAAATTTTTGTAACCCTTCCTCTGCTTGGCATCTTATCTTTTTTTCTTCTCCATTTTGGCATCTTTCATGGAGCCTTGCAAGCAGTATACGTGCAACTTGGATACATAGCAAGTATCCTATGTGTTGGCTAATACGCATAGTAAAGGAAAGGACAAGCCACTAGGCTGAATATGAACATGCTCATTTCTCACCTTTTCTCCCTCTCCATCACCGCAGGAGCGCCTCCTGGCTAGAAATGGTCAGTTGGGGGAAGCCTCAGGCTCTGTTGTGTTTAAAACAGGCCGATCGTCATTGTTACAGAGTTTCTGTCTTCCAGCTTTTTAGCTCAGGGTTTAATACCTCTACTCTTCATTGTATTTCTTATGGGTCCTTGAATTGCCATTACTGATGTAACAATTTCAATTCTACATTTACCATTCTTCTCCTGCTTTGCTTTAGCCTATAGAATGTCTCACTAATAGCTCAACAGCAATTCTTTTTCAGTAAGTTGAGCAAGGGCCCATGGGTGTATTAACAAAACTGGGCCATGTGCATTATAAAGGATAATTTTCTACAAATAAAAATTATGATAGAAGAATAAAAGTCAGGAGATTTCAAGAGTGTATTATAAGACAAAAAATCCACAATCTTACACTTCTGAGATGAGGCTAGCACGTACCTCCTTTTGCTTAGTTCAGTCAAAAAATGAAAGCATCAGTAAGAAAAAGAAAACCAAGATTAAGTTAGTGGGGAAAAGGGCAAATAGGCTATAAAGTAGAAAAAAAATTTATAAAGAAAACTAAAATCATACAGGAAAAAATCAGTGTATGCCTTTCAGTGGGGCATCTACCACTCTTTGTATGCTATTTATGAAAACAAAATCCAAAAGTTATAGCTGCATATATTTTCAGGATCAAGTCTGAAAGAGCTAGAAGTGATTCAAGTCAGTAATTATTTACTGATGTCTGAATTTCTTCTTCCAAGTCATTGTAATATTTCAATATTTCTATATTTAATATATTACTAATAATGAAGAATGATATGATGTCCTTGGTAGCTTCATTGGTTCCGGTGACAGTTTTACTCACGTAACCATTGGAAGCATGCAGCACATACCCTTCGTTGAAATGCATGCTGACGTAGTGGTCTTGTAACAAGTTTACTTAAAAGAAATGGAAATTAAATCAGTTTCTATTAAATGGTCACAGTGTCAAAGTAATTAAAATAGCTCTTTTTAGAAATTACATTTATGGAAAAGAGTTTTAAGATTGCTGAGAGTATGAGCCAACAAGCTCAGGCTTAATTTTCGGGAGTGTGATACCCCAAGACATATTTACAAATTGCTAATTGTTGTAGTAAAACTGAAGGAACCAATTTCATTTATATAAAAATATAAATGCTGTGTAAGGAAGGGCAAAAGCCTTTAGAAATGCACCAGAACTGTAAGTTCAGATTTTTCTTAAGAGCAATTATATGTGTCAACCAGCTTAAAATAACAGTTAAATGAGAAATAAGGTTTGGGTTTTTTTGTATATAGTTTAAAGATGATGCAAGGTGTTCCCATTTTGTTCTGGGAATGAAGGGCTTTGGCCTCTTTCTTGAAACTACAAATTTAAATGTGTTTATTCAAAAGCCCTACAAATAATTACTAGATCATTGGATTTATTATTCTAAACTCACTGTTAACCCAGCTAATCATGCAATGCCCAAGGTTTGGGAGAACTTCTGCCAATTAACTGGAGGTCAGGGAAGAGTAGGATATATGTGACTGTTACTAACCCTAAATGTCAAAAATGTCTTCTTTTGTGATTATTGAGTATGATTGTATTATAAAAGTTAACAGCTTATTAAAGATTATAAAAGTTAACAGCTTATTAAAGAAGGCACATATTTTTCCATTAAAAATATTTTAATATTAGGGCACATCTAACTGCTGGTGGCTTGAAATTTCACTCCAGGCAAGTTACACAAAATTGTAGTTGTGAAAGGTTTTACCCCAAAATAGCCTGTGATCTAATAGAAAGTAGTTCTAAGTTACAGCTCATCCTGCATTTTTCATTTCCAGCACCCTCCATCTGTGCGTTACTTGTGTTGCTATGAATTTGGCAACCCTTCAGCAGTGAGCTACTGTTTATAAGAAGGGATCCCAGCAGCTAAAAGAAGCCAGTCGTTGGGATTACTCATTACTTGCCTTTTGAGCTGCTCCAGGGAATTTCTTGAAGAACTATGTCAAAATCAGCTTTAGAAAACCAGTAATTTGAGAACTTCGATTGACCAGAGTAGTGTTGGTCAAGTTGGTGGGATTAAGAAGGATTCTTTTTGTTGGTACCGAGTGAAGATTTTCCTCTCCTGTGGAAGGAAACAAGAGCATAAAAAAGGCCTTTTTTCTCTCTGCAAGAAGAAATCTGACGCATTGGGATCTCAATTACCAAGACACCATGAATGCTTCCAGGAGGTAAGCTGCATATACTGCATTCCCCTTAGGTGGGAATAGGAAAGCAAACTACTGACAGAATATTCCTCTCATGGTTTTCACATGATGCTGCAATATGATAATGAACTGTGTTATTTGATTTACACAAGGTAGAAGGTAGCCCTTGTCCTGATACCAGTGTTAAATGTGTATTTCTAATTCTGCAACTGTTTTATGTAAAGTCTCAGCTGCAGAACGTCTGTTTTATTGATGAATTGCCTTTTGCAGATTGTACTTCCTAGTCTTTCATTTTTAAGAAATCAGTTTTGACAGCTCTTTTCTACGTGTGCATAAGCATAAATATGATTTGTCTTTAAAAGCTCTTTACTTGTAAGCTGTATCTGCAGTAGTATTTTTGGTAACTTCTACCCTTTGGTGATAATAACAGCAGGAACATGTATGAATGAGAGCTATACTACAGCTAATACTTCTGAGACATCTTCCTAAGCTGCATGAAAATCACCAGCTGATTGATTGACCTTTTGGCATTCCACTTCAGGTGGAATTATGGACATTCAACATTTTTTTTTTCTCTTAAAAAAACAACCCAGAAAAAGAAGCAGGCCCACTGGGACTTAGAAAATTTCAGTGGAGATAACAGTAAGGGGAGGTCAGTTACCATAGGTTAACATTTCTGCTTTCGAACCAATTGGGAAAGGTGGCAAACCAATGTAAAATGTAACTCCAGAGAATCCTGGAGGTATGCTTTGTGTAGTTACCGCTGATTGCTACCTTTGGCTAATGAGCACCTTGACACAGACTGCCAAGGGAAGTCCCTTTTGAAAAGCGGAGATAGAAACACACTATGAGAGCAGGATGGGAAGCTCACATAGCACAGGCTGTGCTTATTCCCATGGATTAAAGCTTTGGAAACTGGTTATTTTTTTAAACCTTCCCACTTTCATAATATTGCAAAATTAAGTGTATGTTTTTTCTCATACAACTGATCTGTATCAACAGTGAAGAGAAAAAGCACTGTGCATCCTCTAACAAGCTCATACCCAGTCTCTCTGCCTGTCAGTGGGAGAGAAATACCAAATGGCTGGTAAATGTTTTTTGCATTTCCAATTATGGAAATTAATTTATTAGCCCCATACAGCTTGAAGAGCTCTTTCCCAAATCTAGTCAATGATACAATGCACACCCTGTGCTTCATTATAAACGCTATTAATAAAAAGAATCCTTTTTAATCTTAATCATGCTTTTTGTTATGGCAGGATACATTCTCTCCGTGCTCACAGACAGAAAACCAATGGCAGCAAAAGTGAGAACTGGCACAGCACCTCTGGGTTCAAGGATCAGCATGGAGATGATCTTGCTACAGTCCATACCCTTTACACAGTGATTGTCATGATCCTTCTAATGGCAATCTGGGGAGCCTGGTCAAGAAAGGATTCATCCTGATAGCAGCAATATGCTTTCTTTGTCAAATATTTAAAGGAATATTTGTGTCAATTATCCATACCCGGGAGGTACAAAAAAAAAAAAATGGTCTCAGCATATTACAGTTTGCTTGAAACTGCTTAAACTGTTGCTATGTGTGAAACTGAAACTGTGAAGCAATTTAATTGTCAATATACAGAACATGACTGTGAATAACATATACCTGTTTGCACTGTACATGTTTCTATTACCCCTCGCATGTATATGAAACTTACGTTAAGCACAACATGCTAGTAAGAAGAGTTCTACTTATGTTTTTGTTGGTCAGTGTTGTGTAGAGAAACCTCAGCTTTCCACTTTTGAACTTCAGTTGTCAGTGTCTACCTCTGCTAAGATTACCTGTTTGAATCCATCATAAAACATATACTATAAGCAAGCAAATAATCTGCCATGTCACAACATCATAAGAAAACAAATACATTAACAAAACCAGCTATCCTGAAGGCAAAGGAAGACGTATGAAGCAATCAAATTCTCATCTCTGTTGCTGAAGAGTTTATATGGGACTTGCACCTGCATATTTTTAACCTGTGGTAATGCCTTTGTAAACTCAGGAATAAAATAATGAAATAAACTATATTTGTAAGCATCCTTTGTGGCAGAACCAACTGGCTCATCTTCAGTCTTATACCAATATATTTAATTCATCTTCAATAACTGCTTGCTTTTCCATAGTTCATTAAAATACCTAATGGCCGTACCAACTTCTACCGACACCAGCCCACACTTGATGGAGGGCATTCCATATTCTCATGTTTTCAGGGAACTCTACTTAGAAAACCTGCAAGCTTTATGGAAATACAGCCAGTTGGCAGCCTCTGTTACACTCTTGGCTGTGTGGTTGCCTACTCCTGATAAGCTCAGGTTAATGGACTGGAAGCTCTGAGGGGCAGTGGCTGTTGGGAACAGTATTTCAAGCTTTCAGAGCTCAAACTCAGCTTAAACCCCAAACTCCAGCATTGTATAAAGTAACTAGCAGTACCCTAATAAACAAAGAAGAACTGCAAGATATTCTGAATACTTAGGAAGAGATAGATTTATATATTCGTAATTACAGAGCACCAGTAGGGAACACAATTCTGTTAAGTGTTGCGTACCGCCTTTTGGTATCCATCCATAATTAGGAGGGGCACATAAACTGAAATGTTTCTGCAAAGACCTACCTGGCACACCTCAAGGAGTGCTTACAAACACAGTGTAGCATCCAGGACACCTGCATCAGCTCTCCCAGCAGGTGGGGGTGCTGGAATCAGTGTTCCTGTACCTATGCAGCACTGCACCACTCAAAACAAATGTCCTTGTTAAGGTACCACCTCATTATGATTAACATGGGAGCAGAGCTTTGATGGTGATCTCTGAAGAACAGCATACAAAGGAATAATGTTTAAAAAATGATGATTAGCACATTAAATAACTTGTCATAAGACATAGGGAGCCCAGCCATAAACCAAGCAGCATGAACTAATATTGCAAGTGAAAGCAAAAGGATGGTCCCTCTCTTATAAACGTACACTAGAAGCACACTAGAAGAGAGAGGGATTTAGACATCCTGACAGCAGCCCAAAAACCCGTGTGACTGGGGTTGTGTGACAGGCAATGGCCTCAGTGCACTGGATGTGTACCGTTGTCAAGGCTTCTGCAGGAGGGGGAGTTTTGGCAGAGGGGCAAAGAGTGATACTGAATAATCATCTATTTTGAAAATGATGAAGGGAGGTTCCCCTACCTGAAGCAGGCACAGGAGGCCTGAAGCTGTTGCTTTGAAATCACAAGGCAAAAGGGTATGCTTAGGCTATAGGAGACTGATGTGAACTGTGAAGGGCTTTGGAAATAAAAGCAGACAGGTAAAAGCATCTCAGGATGGCAGAAGAGAGGAAGGCAGTGAACAGAGCTGGGAGGGGGCACACTTAATGGTGGGGGGAACTCAGTCATGGAACTGGTCACCAACAGCTGATGGGGATTTTTCCTTTGCTTAAAATTTTGTAAACTGGATTGGCTATTTATCCTAACATGCATAGCTTTTAGAAACATGCATTTTACTAATATCAAACACACAGTTCAGAGGTGCACAGGCTGCAGCTCACAAATTGAGCTGTCAGGTCAGTGAACCTGCATTGCTCATGCTGCCGTTGATCACAGCGGCCTGCGGATGTGGCTGCACAGCACTCAGAAGAGTCATCTTGGTGCAAGGCAGACTACCCTTTGCTGCTCTCTTTCCCTGCAGAACCTCTGACTGCCCGTTTTACATCACTGTGAGATTTCCTATGTGCCAAAATACACACTCCCCTAATCATGGGATGGGCACATATCTGATCCCGCACATACACACTAGCCTGCAGGTGATGGCTGCTGGCAAATCACAATGTGCTACTGGACTACCTCCCTTGCTACAGGGCAGGCAAATGCTCCTTGAGTGTATGTCCACATTCCTCATGGAATCCCAGCAGTTTGGATATACATCAGATCTACCTGGGCTGAAAGCCTGGGAATCAACTCAAAAAGGATGGCCTGCTGGCCTTAGCATGTATGACAACGTCATTGTAAAAAGTGGCTTTGTACTGGCCATTTCTTGCTTGCCCTGTCTCCAGTGTTTTTCCTTTCTTTTTTCTCCCCTCTGCTTCTCTAATAAACTCATGTGTTACAAAGCATTCAAGCAGGAAAGTGAGTTCTGTGGAGGATGAGGTTTTGGCCATCGCCTTTTAGTAGCACAGTCTGCTGGTTTCACTCAATTTTTATCATATACACAATGTTAAACAGGCAGCACAGCCAAAAATCCCCACCCAAAAACACTCCACCTTAAAAATAAAAGCTAGAACAACTGACCACACATCATACTTTTACATTTAGATGTTAAATTCCTATGTCCTGCAGGTGCAATCCTACCTCTGAAGCCCAGAAGGTATTGAAAATGCTTCAGCTTCCTCTTTTTCACCTTTGTAATAGAGGTGGTAAGGTATGAAAGTTCTGAAGGGAAGCAGCTGAACATTGGATGTTTTGAAAAACCCAAGTTCCTTAAGCTTTTGCTTTGCTGGAAAACAGTGGGGGTTGATTTAACAGCAGTATTATATATCCAGACATTCTAATTTCAGTTTTCAGAAAGACAAGTGTAACTTCACAGGGTCAACACAACCCAAATTTATTCCCAGTTTTTGCAAGTAATTTGTTTAAGTCAGATAATGCATCTAGGATTAGGGGAAAACTGTGGTCTTGCAGGTCAGTGGCATAGTCTTCACTACCAACAGACCCAGATCATCTGCCTGACTGAACGATAGTCAGTCAGGAGACTTCAGCTCCCAAAATAATATCCAGTAAATCCACCCATGAAAATGGCTTGTTCAATTCTCACAGTAAATCACAGTTTCATAATTTAACTCATGGCAACAGTAACAAACTATTTACTGTTTCCACACCAGTGAAGTTTGGAACTTGTGTATCAACTGTTATGCAGGGATCTTTTTATTAGCATTTCTCCTGTATTAAACAGACCAGGCTGATGCTTTACATGTGTTCAAAAAAGGCTGTGCTTTAAGCATACCTGCCTACCATTATTTTAAACTACCAAAACCAATGTCAGCAATTGAGCCAGCAAATCTGGTGATATAATCCATGTACCAACCATACTGTCAGAAAAGGAAAACAAGTCTTGTATTTGCCAGTCATTCTCACATGCTGATGTTACGCATGTGTTATTTCAAAAGACTCAAGCCCTTCCAAACTCCATTTCTTTATTATTGCCTCACATTTCCCTTTAAGGGGATGATACATTCTGTAGAGCCATCTTTCAATCAAGAAATCAGCAGAGTCATTTCTCCTGAATAACTTACTTTGATAAACCTTTTAATTCCCTGGGTACTTGGCAAGTATTTGGCCATTGATCTGGTTGGTAAGAGGATGGTACTTGTACTACTGTGTTTTAATGGAGGGAAGCATTAACCAAAATAAAAATGCAGAACAGAAACTAGGAGTTTTCATATTAAATACAGAAACACAGACAATACTAGGTCTATGTGTCATTTTGCTGGTCTGTTTACTGTAGTGGGTAACATTTCAACTCTTAACTCAGACCTGCCTCTCCCCAAAAACACATCTGTTTCCCCATATACTGTGGAAGAAACTGAGCCATACTCTTCCAAATATCTTCTAAGTACACAAATTGTAACACCTCAGAGAACATTAGGAAAAAAATAAAACCAACTCATATTCAAACAGCTATACAGGTGTATACACATCCCAGAAAAACCATATAGCATAGCAATAGCAGAATGGATTTCTACCTAATTAGAACAGATTTTGTTCTTAAACAGGATGCCTGCATGTGATTAAATGATACTCATGCAGGACTGCTGGATCTGATGACTACCAGAAAACAATATTCTTTTTAGTTCCTTTTGATGGCCTGTAACACTGGTTCAACCAAACAAGTTCAATGATCCTTTCAGAATGCTATGTAAGTTCTATTGACAATATAAGCAAATAAATTTAGGGTAAAAAATTCTCTGTGAGCTCTGCACCAGGAACCAGGCCCTAGGAAGTCAGCATCACCATGCATAATTCAGTGTAGTGAAAGCATCTCTCATTATCTTTCAACACCAACACTTAGCTACCACAGCAACAGACCAGTAGCTCAGCAGCACCCTGCATCTGATAACATCACACTGTTAGGTGCTACCATCACCGCTGCGTCATCCATGCTGACATCATTCAAGGTCCCACACATCCCTGACACCCCTGCTCCATGCTGCTCCAGCACTGGCTTCCACAGGGCCCTTCCTGTTCCCAATGGGTGGGCAGTGACTGTATCCCATTAGCAGAAAGAGGGAGGTGCTGCTGACAGTTTATGGAAACTTTCCTTTTCCTAGCCCATCAGCAATAATTCATGCCACGGAGATGTCTTTTCCGGCAGCAGTATCATTAAAAGGACATCATCCATCGGGATGCCAAAACAAACCAAATCAAGGGAGGGCTAATAAAAATGATTTAGTGTTTGAATTCTTTCTGCACCTAGCAAAACATTTGATGAAAGAGAGGAGTAAGTAGAAATTTCCCAGCCTTCTGTTTAGATCAACTTAAGGTACTGGCAAAAGTGATTTTTTTTTAATCTTGCTAAGAAAATGGACAGAAATGCCAATGGCAAATTCTGCTTTCCATGGCAAGATTTCTCTTTGTGCTTAGAACACAGCTCTGGTTACCCCCATATCCAAACTTGCTTATTTATGATTAAAGCTCAGATGTCATCCAACTGCTCAGTATTACACCACTTCCTCTGATATGCACAATAAATTGCAATGAAATGTTTTTATATCTCAAAAAGCCCTCTTTTTCCTTTAGAAAAAATTTATTTATGCATTTTCATATAACATCTTTTGTTGACATTCTGCAAACAATACTATCCAATAAGGTGCCGAGTTTTTCCTCTTGCGGAGTAACTTTGTACATCTGCAGAGAAAGAAAACCATAAAAGATGTGTAAGGGAGAAAAAAATTCATCACATGTCTTCTAAAAATATGTACCCAAGGTTTGCCCTTCTTCCCCACTTTTTACACTGGAAATTTTAATCTTGTCATGACTGCAACATAAAATTGGGACTAAGGAACCACGGAAATTCTGAAATGGCAAGACATAAAGCTAAGAAACTGAATGAGAGCAGCAATTTTAGCTCCACATGTTGTATGCTATGATTCGTCCAGTTTTATTCATGTCTCCCATCATTACTTTGACCAACATGATCAAAATGATTTAAGTTACTTGAATTTTAAGTTACTTGAAGTTAAACACATATGCTTCAAGATACTTACCTAGCATATGGTAATCTGCTAAGAGCACACATGCCCCAAAGCAGCTTCTAGCAGCTAATCAACACATTTTTAGTTCAGCCACCCATGCTGGGACTATTTATGTTCTTAAGATTATGAAACTGTTCAGGACTGGAAATTTATTTTTAATTAAATGAATATTTGCCTGAGAAAACAGGAAGCAAAGTGCCTGAATGGTAGGCAGCAATCTGGAATGTATTTTTATGTTCCAACTTCCTGACGATGCTAAGAATTTTAAGACTTAAAATTTATGCTGTTGTAAGTCTGACAACTAGAACTTCTTGCAACTAAAAAAACTGTAAGTAAGAAATGATCAAGTTCACTAAACAGGTTTCCAGTTGTGCTAAAGAAATACAGACCCTAAGGTAATATCCACTTTTCTCTACGCCAGTCATCTCTTTTGGCTACATACCTTTTTAACTCTGGCAGTGTCTGTTAGTTGGGGGAGTTCATTCAGAGAAACCTGCTGGCCTTCCACCTGAGATACTATATCTCCCAGATTCACAGTTTTTTCTTTGTCCACAACCAGAACAATGAGCACCGCTGTGTCACTGTCTGAAATGCCAAACTTTTTAAATGCATCTGAAATCTAAGAAAGCATGAAAAATAAGAAAATATTATGAGTCACTTTCTCACTATATATGAGCAACCTTTTCAGCTACAGGGTCAAACAGACTAAGAATATAAACTGTCAGTTTTACATTAATGTAATTCTGACAAGCTACAAGAGATAACAACGTTATAAGTGTTAATAAAAATAGCTGTAACTTCTATTAGTAGCCAGGTAAACAGTTTATAGAATCATAGAATAGTTAGGGTTGGGAAGGACCTTAAGATCATCAAGTTCCAACCCCCCTGCCATGGGCAGGGACACCTCCCACGAAACCATGTCACCCAAGGCTCTGTCCAACCTGACCTTGAATGAATACATCTATTTAGTTTGGCTGCATGGATCCTGGCAACCTTGTCTGACAATAAAAGACATTTGTTCAGTAAAGCTTACATTGTTGTTTGGTGAAAGGCTGAAAATAATTTCGGCATTGAGAGTTCTGGTTTTCATTTTACCTATCCTGTGCAGGTGAACAGCTTTGTTGGCCGCCACAAGAATTTGAAAAGGATCTACAATCTGTAAAACACAACAAAGAAGTTCAACAGAAATTTAACTTCCTATTCTGAACTCTGAAAAAAATCCTGACCACTAAATTTTGACAGCATATGCCTACATCATAGAGGTGAGGAAACCAGTATTTTACTAGTTACTTTAGGAATTCTTGCTCTTCCAAAGTGATTATTTCCTGTGTGCAGTTATACTTGACATAAAGACTATGCTCTCTCAATCAGGTTACTGAAATATTTTGAAAAAATAATCACATTATAAATCTTCTTTCAGTAAATTGTCAGATTATTTTTTTTCATCTTTCCTAACTACAGCTTTGCTAATTCTAACAAAAAAGGCCAGATTCAGAAACTAGTTATGGGTTTAAATGAGAAAAAAAGGCTCCAAATATTAGGTTTTGGACAGCGTAATGCAATTAGTACTAAATTTCACAGATGGGAGCAGGTTTAAATAGCTCCACCAAGCAGGATGTGAAGTGAACCAAGGTGACAATAGTTCTGGCCAATTCTGCCAGGGCTTTTTATTTCACACAGATGAACCCTTACACTGTACAACACCATAATGAAATCAGAGGAGGGGCATTTGCAGTGTATAGCAGCAACTCATGTGAAAAGTGATTACAAGCATAGGCTGTTCTTCACGGAGTTCCCACAGAGAATTCCCACGCTGCGTTTAGAACTGTAACGCAGTCCAAACGGGAGGCCATAGGCACTCGGGCATTCACTCACCATGGCAGGGTTTATTAACGCTCCTTCGATGGACCCTTCCATGGCCTTCTTCCTTAGAGCAGCTGCATTTTTCACGTGGTTGAAGAGGAGGAGGGTGACGGTGCAGTCAGGGAACAGCTCCAGTCCATGCGTTAACTCCATCCTGCAGAGCCAGCCCAGGAGCGTCCAGCAGCACCAACCTTACACCATTTACCAAAACAACGAACGAACACGCACCCGCTCCTGTCCTGTATAAAACACAGTTTTAATAACACCATTCGCAGATGGTTTGCAACGTCTCCCGGAGGACAAGCCCCACGCGTGCGCCTCCACGGCCGGAGGCAGGCCGCACCTCCCGACCAGCCCGCCGGTCCCCTCGTCCTCATCCTCCCCACCCAGCAGCCACCGCCCGCGCCTGATTCTCCTGCCCTCCCGTCCCATCTTGGCCATCTCTGTTCCCCGCCGTCCCTCACCGCCGAGCACCACAGTCACGTCCCGCACCGCCAGGCCCCACCTCCCGCGCCCAGCCCTTCCCGGAAGGGCGGCCCTTTGCCAGCCCGGCCTTCCCACTCGGCGGCGGCAGCATGGAGCGGTTGGAGGCCTACGGCTTTTCCGCGGTCATGAGCGGCGCGTTCCTGCTGTCCTGCCTGCTGTTCGCGGCCGTCAATCGCGGGCAGCGCGGACCCTACATGGACGAGGCCTTCCACGTCCCTCAGGCACAGGCCTACTGCCAGGGCCGCTTCCTGCAGGTGCTGCGCGGAGCCGTCCCAGTCAGAGCGATGCTTTGTATGAACGTACCGCGGGCGTTTCGAAAAGCGAATAGTTTGTGGTCGTTGTTGCCCCAGACGCTTCTTTCTGCTTCTTAATGGTTCAGGATACGGAGTATTCAAATATTCTAGTGTAGTAATGCCAGCAGTACACCAAGCATCCAAGCTGACAGAAAGGGGAGCGGGCGGGTGGGCATGGTGTGGCATACCCCACCGTGTGTCTCGGGTCCCTTTTCTGTGTGATTTTAGCCCATAACCTGTTTCTTTTTCCACTTTGCAGTGGGACCCGATGATCACCACACTGCCGGGCTTGTACCTGGTGTCGGTGGGAATAGTGAAGCCTGTGGCATGGCTCTGTGGATGGACGGGAAGCGTGGTGTGCTCTACAGGGATGCTCAGGTTTATTAACCTGCTTTTCAGTGCTGGGAACTTCTATTTATTGTATTTACTACTGTCCAAGATCCATCAGAAGAATAAGGTATGGTGAAATAATTACTTTTGTGTACTCGTACATTTTACACGCTTGTACAAGCAATTTAGATACCTCAGTGTGTGTTTTGCTATGTATGTGAGCAAGCTATATAACTGCAAGTACTACTACCAGTCTGGCCAAGGAGGCATATTCCTTTTCTCCATTTTTTGTTTTGATTTTTTTTAATCTTTTTTTGCTTTCAGGGTGCAAACCTCTAAAAATTTACTCTTGTGTGTAACGATAAGTAGCCCCATTGAAATAAAACTTAATACACACTGCCCAAAGGTCTTAATGCTCATCTAGTTGGAATTGCTTCAAACTCTCCAGGAAATTTCAGCCACTGAATCCTGAGTGAAGCCCTGTAAGCTGTGTTTAAACTGAACTCTGTTCTTTGGAAAGATACCACTTTTCATACCAATATTTAGAACCAAAGAATAATTCAAGTTGTAATGTAGGGAATGATTCAGGGCAGAAAGGACCTTAGAAGATCCACCCTTCAGCTCAAAACACGCCAGCCCTGAGGTCAGATCAGGTTGCTGTCTGGACAACCTGCTCTGTGACTGACTGGCCTCACAGTGGAAAAGATTTTTCTTACATCCAGTCTGAACCTCTCAGTTTATGCCTGTTGTCTCTTGCTCTTCCACAGTGTACCACTTGGAGGAGCCTGGCTCCTTAAGCTGGTGACATTCTCAGGTATTTGTAGGCTGCTGTTCAGTCCTCCCAAGCCATCTATTTTACAGACTGAACAAGGCCAGCTCCCGCAGCCTCTGCTCTTAGGGCATGTGTTTCAGTCTCCCACTGTCTGGGTGGCCCTCTGCCATTGCTTCAGTTTACTGGTACTTTTTTGTATCACAGGGCACAAAATTTTACGCGGTATTGTAAGTGCAGCCTAACAAATAAAGAGGGATCATCACTTCCTTTGATCTGCTTCTATGCTCTCTTGCTGATGCAGTCCAGGAGGCTGTTACTATTCCATCCAGGCAAGCTGCTGGCTCATATTCACTTCATTATCTGTCAAGACCCCCAGGTCCCTTTCCACAGAGCAGCAGATCCTCAGCTACTCTGCGTCGAGCCTCTATCAGTGTAGGGATTTCTTTTTTTTCAGGTGAAGGAATTTGCATTTGAACTCACTGAATTTCATAATCATAGAATCATAGAATAGTTAGGGTTGGAAAGGACCTTAAGATCATCAAGTTCCACCCCCCCTGCCATGGGCAGGGACACCTCACACTAAGCCATCTCACCCAAGGCTTCGTCCAGCCTGGTCTTGAACACCGCCAGGGATGGAGTATTCACAGCCTCCCTGTTGCCCTATTTCTCCAGCCTGTGTTTGGCAGCTCTGCTCTTCAGCCTGGTGCCACCAGTTTAGTGTCATTTGCAGACTTGGTGAGAGTGTACTCTTGCTGCCTTTGGGTCCTTGATAAAGATGTTAAAGAGGACAGGTCCCAGTATAGATGCCTGTGTTACTCTGGTCGTTACTCTTTGGGTAGAGTGTGACAAGTTAACCAGCCAGCCAGTTCTTACCTTTGACCACCCATCCAGACCATAACAGTTCAACTTGGGCATAGGAATATTGTATATTTAAAGTGGTGTAGAATCCACCACTGCAGCAGGTAAATTGTTTCAGTGATTAATGGCCTATTCAAAAGCTTTCACCATAGTCAAGTTGTTCAGTTTCACTTTTAACCATAAGAACATTTTTTCCTGTTCCCTGATAACTGAAGGATTCCTTTAAGGAAAATTTCTTCTGATGTATTTTCTTACAGGAGACTCTTCAGTTTTAAGCATACAATAAGACTACACAAAACTGAGTCAAATTCAATAATTATTTTTTTTTTTCACTTTTAGAACACTTTATGCTTTGAAGTGGAAATACAGATGTAAGAAAATAAAAGTTTTTGTGACAGTAGTCTAAGAGTTAGAAAATGTAGTTGCCTTGTTGGTTTTGAGCTCACCATTTTCTCTGTTCCTCCTGTCTGTAAGGTGGTGACTGGCTGTTTCACCCCATGCTATATCATTCAGAAGCATAATGCAACATTTTTTAATGTTGTGAATTGCATTTCATCATGTAGTGAGTGGGATAATTGGGAGGAGCTTTTAACTGCATGGTCTCCTAACTTCTTTGAAGTTTCTTTTCTAACTCACAAATTACAATAAACAGTAAAAGCTGCACCAAAGATCAGAAACTCTGAACAGGCCACTCTGTGGACTGGGTTCAAAAGAGGCAAGAGCAGAAGCATGAAATGATGTGTTCTGCTGTCTCACAAACAAGCAGAATCTTGGTGATGAAATTTCAGGAGCATAAAACATTGTTGATTTGTTGGTCTTTTTTTTTTTTTTTATTGGCCCATTAGCTATTTTATCCGAGATATGGGAGCAGTTAGACTCCTGCAATGACTTTAATGGCACAGATATGTGAACACCTGACATATAAAAGAAGTTGATGTATTTTTGTTGCTGTGTTTTTAACTCGCCTGCAGTAATGTGCTGTTCTAATGTTGTGTAGTCCGACACTCTGCATTAACATATCAGGAGGTTAACAAAAATACAGCCTGTGTGCTTCTGCAATAATGGAGCCAAAGAACATAAGAGATATTATATTGTGTTAATGGAATTCTCAAGAATTATACTTATTATTTGGGGTTGTTTGTTTGTTTCATGTTATTTTTATTGGACATTTTTAACCACATTTTTCTGCTTCTTCTCTAGGCTGTGTATGGCTTCCAGAGAATCTTGTCTACGTTAACACTTGCAATGTTTCCCACCCTTTACTTTTTTACATTCCTTTATTATACAGACCCAGGATCAGTATTTTTCACACTTTTCGCCTATTTAATGTGCCTTTATGGTAACCATAAAACTTCAGCTCTCCTTGGATTTTGTGGCTTCATGTTTCGTCAGACAAACATTGTGTGGACAGTTTTTTGTGCTGGAAATATTGTTGCAGAGAAGCTAAATGAAGCCTGGAAGACAGAGTTACAGAAAAAGAAAGATGAAAAGATTTCTTCCAGGAAAGGATCATTTTCAGATTTGATGAGAGTACTGCAGTTTCTTATCAAATATCTTGCATCACCTAAAAACTTAGTTACACTTACTGCTTTAACTTGGCCGTACATCATATTAGTAACTGGGTTCCTTGTCTTTGTCTTCATCAATGGTGGAATAGTTGTTGGTGACAGAAGTAGCCATGAAGCCTGTTTGCACTTTCCTCAGCTGTTCTATTTTCTGTCCTTTACTGTCTTTTTTTCATTCCCTCATTTATTGACCCCTTCTAAAATCAAGAAATTCATTCTGTCATTACGAAAGCACCCTGTGCAGTACAGCTTAATCACTGCCATCTCTTTATTCCTGATCTGGAAATTTACCTATGTTCATAAGTATTTACTAGCAGATAACAGACATTATACATTTTATGTCTGGAGAAAAGTCTTCCAAAGACATGAGCTTGTAAAATATGTATTGGTTCCAGTCTATATATTTTCTTGCTGGAGTTTTGCTGATACACTAAAATCAAAACCGATATTCTGGATCTTAATGTATTTTGTATGTTTACTAGCAGTCACAGTTCCTCAAAAATTGCTGGAATTTCGTTACTTTATTTTGCCATTCTTAATATACAGACTCAATATTCCATTTCTGTCTCTATATAGACAGCTTCTGGAGTTGGCTTTTTATATTGCTGTGAATGCCATAACTTTATATGTTTTTCTAAACAAAACATTCCAATGGCCAAATAGTGATGAAATCCAGAGGTTTATGTGGTGACCTTTTCTTTCCCAGTATGTTTTGCAGTTGGAATTGGGGAAGTAAGCTATTTGCTTATATTGTTGCAACTGAATGTGAGATCTGATATGTTGTTATGTGAAGGTATTCCATATATTGAATTTATGAGCTCCTGGAATTAAAACATTCAATATGAAGGGGAATTTGAGCACATCTTTCTGTAATTTATGTGAAGTAAGAGAGATGTTTACAGTGATTTTTCATTATAGCAAAATACTATATAACATTCTCTTGAGGATATGACAGTTTGTAAGTATGTTTCAGAGGCTTCTCTTTAAAACAAGGTATTTTGGTGTTTTACATTTTTGTTACCTCTGTGTATTTACTGCTTGGATCAGGCCATTTCCATCTAGGTTTGCTGGCAGACAAGGTATGAACCACTGCTAAAGTACATTTTCAAAACCTCCTACGTGCCACTGTATTGTCATGATTTTTTTTGTCGATAAATGCTTACACTGGTTTTGCAAGCAGAATGTAGGCTCTTAAGTCATTAAAGCAGTTTGAAAATTTTGTTTCAAACTGATACTTAGAAAATACAGTGGAGGCTGTGTGCATGTACCTTCTTTGGGGAAACAAGTGTTATTGTACAACAAAAGATAAATTGCAGTTGATAATGTGACCTATTAGGAGGGAAGTAATTTATATATGTCAGACTGAAATGTGTCGTTACACAGTGGAATGCAGCCTAATGAATACCCTTTTAAATAATCAGGCTTTTATGTCCTGATGGTCTGTGTTCACAGGTTTGTACTGATGTAGGATCTGAGTGCACTCCTCAGTTGAACTGAGTGTTTCTAAGATCTGTGACATGTAATCTTAAAGAAATGCTAATGGCATTACTGAATTGTTCTTTTAAATGGTTTTCATGTATATACAGATCTAATGGAACTAGGGAATATATATTTTGTATTACAAAGGTAAAATACAATATGTGTATACATATATATTTTTAAAAGCATCTAGTGTATTATCTTGAGAATAAAAGAAGGCTGTAATGGTTTCTGGCTGTAAATGACTTTAATTAGGCTCAAAAATATTTGATTGCTTAAAGTTAACTATTAAGCTGTTTTATAAATATAACTAAACTGTGTGGCAGGGGAGGAGATCCAAAACTTTGCATGGTGTGTAGCATTTTTGAATTCTTTCTCGTTCTGTAATTAAAAGACAGCTGACAAATCCATGCAAACATACTGTACTATTGCCATGCCAGTCACTCTGAAATG